TATGAGAAATGAAGGAACATAGCTCTTCTAATGGAAGAGGTAGTTACTTTCAAGAATTTTAAAATCCTTGTTTCTGTACATTTCTCTATGGTAAGCTTTAAGGCCCTAACTTCTATATTCTGCATTAAGAATCATTAGAGATATGAGGCTTTAAAAAATGGAAAAAGCCACAGGGATATTTCACATCCCACTTGAATTCGAAAGGTAGCAAATTCTAACGAGGTGTCACGGTATGACGAATTTTCAACAAAATGTTGCAAATATTTCATAAGGTACTTAACTTTGTACATAGTATTACCACCTAAGGTTATCGAAATGTTCATGTGCATAACATTATATACATTTAAAACACTAATAGTATCAGAGTCTGTGAATTAAGTGGATGAATGAAGTAATGCTGTCAAATTAGAATTTATTCAATTCCATGAGAATATACTGCATGTGTTTTTGTGCTTCAGGAGTGGGCTATGTTCTTGGAGCTTGCTTGACACCTCTGGACGTGACCTTTGCCGTAGAATTCTACAAAACCCCAATATTACGGTTACAGTCTGAAAAGTTTCGACCCGGTTATTTGATATCTGAACTTTGTTTCTTCTTTTACCTAGGGATGTCTCTAGAACAGTAATTGCTAATCTCCCAGCCAAAGGACTGGAAAGCCTTAAGGAACTGATGGCCAAAAATACATGGACTTTAAAGAAATTGCCAGCCGTAAAGATATTTCTTCAGCTAATGCGAGCTGACCTGTCCTATCCAAGCCATTGCTGTGCTTTCAAGAGCTGGAAAAAAAACAGTGGGTGAGTTTCAGCAGTTTACCTTCAGTTTTAAATTGTGTAAGTAAAGGCAATTTAGCATTAACACAAAATAGCATGTAGTTGGACTTTTATGGCCTTTTTATTTTCCCTGAAGATAGAGGACACTTTGAAGCTGAAAGATTATAAAGTCAAACCGATAGGAAAAAAAAAGAATCTTTGATGCAGCATAGGATTGATAGGACCTTTTGCTATAGCTCCTTCCTTTGTTGAGCTCAGAGGTAAAAAAGAACTAAAAAGAATAAGGAATAGCCAGAACATATTACAGGAAGGACTGGAGAAAGAATTTTTGAAGGGGACGTAATCTCATGAGCTAGGAGACATTCTGACTAAAATGCTGAAACTGAATCATTCCATAATAACTTTGTGGATGGATTACTTTTTATTCCATTTTTCAGGATTTCCTGACTTCCTTCAGAACAAGTACTGACAGTTATTAAAGAGAAAAAATACAAGTGTAGATGTCCTGATGCAACAAAGCAGTTCATCTGCAGTAACAACTACCACCCCTTCCCCCACAAACTTGCTGTTTTTATCAGCTCAATGTTACTGCAGGATTCAAATATGAATTCAATGCAAACTTCTCAAAAGTTTTATAAGATTTAGAGCTATGAATTCTTGCTCAGCCCTGAATTAGGAAGACAACATCAATCTTCAATATTACAGTATTTGAGGTATGAATGTACAGTGCATAAATATATATGAAAGTAATACATATACTACAAGAGGTATATGAATTATACAAAATTCACTTAGCAGGAACATTCACAATTCACACTTTACAATTACAGTGGATTAGGAAAGTGCAGATAGACAACTAAACCAAAGAGACCTAAACCAAAGAGATTCCAAATCTGGCAGGAAGAATGTACTCAAAGAACCCAATTGATCTAATGACAGAAAAAAAACCCAGGTATATGCTTATCCTTATTCTGAAGATGAAACAAATTCTCAAACAGCTGAATTTTATGCCATCTGGAGTTGTGCACACCTGGAAATGAGACATGCTAGAGAATAGGTGACATTAGATGACAATGATCAGAAAATTTGATGTCCATTTCCAAGGATTTTTTTTTTCTAGTAAAAAAATACAACCACTCTGGGACCACAAATCCAGGTGCATCGCACCGCAGAGATACAGAATTCCCAGGTACTATGTTATCAGTGAGCTTTAAAGACACTGCGGAATATACACAGGAGAGAAATGAAAATGCCTGGAGTTCTGGGAGAAACTGATTTGTGAGAAAAACGGAAAATGACACTGTATTATCGTAGAAGTCTTGTGGCCTATTGAGAAGGTAAATCCCTAAGAAGGAAGAGGGATTATGGATGGTGATAAACTGCATTACCACTGGGGATCCCTGATAGTAATCGAGAAAGTAAAAATATACATGGAGAAAAAAGCAACTCTTCTGGTAGTTAAGTCTGCTGGGGTTACCACTGGGGATCCCTGATAGTATCCGAGAAAGTAAAAAGTAAAACTCTTCTGGTAGTTAAGTCTGCTGGGATATTTGATCCTAGAAATTCTCAAGTTTATGTTCACTATATTCTCTTTTTATTAACAGAAATATATTTGATAACATCATTATAGCTAAATTTTCATTCACATTGTGATTTGTTTACCCATTCTAGTCAAACTGTAAATGTGATTGCCCTGTACTCTTTCAGACTTCTGGAATATCTGACATGTAACCACACCAGCAGTCACAGCTTTCGCAAAAGATCAGTCAAAGCTCCCAGAGGCCCTTTTTACAAAGATTATGCTGAAGAATATACTGATCACACTGAGACAGTGTATGACAAAAATACCAAGTTCAGGAATTTTCATGAAAATTCCCACTATTATGATTTTTTTGAAGAGCATGGAGAAGGAAACATCGGGTTTGGCCAAGAACTCAAGAACCCTCAAATGGAAGATGTCCAGGCCTTTGACAACCATTACGACTACCCCGTCTGTGGAATCAACGAAGATATAATATGCACTCCGGAGCCTGATGAGTTTAATCCCTGTGAGGATATTATGGGATATAAATTTCTAAGGATTGTGGTATGGTTTGTGAACCTGCTGGCCATAGCAGGAAACATTTTTGTCCTTTTCATCCTCCTGACCAGCCATTACAAATTGACTGTACCAAGATTTCTGATGTGTAACTTGGCCTTTGCTGATTTTTGCATGGGCTTATACCTTCTCCTGATTGCTTCTGTGGATCTCCACACCAGGTCGGAGTACTACAATCATGCCATAGAGTGGCAGACAGGGCCTGGCTGTAACACAGCAGGCTTTTTCACAGTCTTTGCTAGTGAGCTCTCTGTATACACACTCACTGTGGTCACCCTAGAGCGCTGGTATGCTATCACCTTTGCCATGCACCCAGATCGAAAGATTCGCCTTCGACATGCTTTGGTTATCATGCTGGGAGGTTGGCTCTCATGTTTTCTTCTTGCCCTTTTGCCACTGGTTGGAGTTAGCAGCTACAGCAAAGTGAGCATCTGTTTGCCTATGGACACGGAAACACCAGTGGCCGAAGCCTATGTCGTCTTTGTTTTAATGTGTAACATTATTGCTTTTGTCATTATTTGTGCCTGCTACATAAAAATCTATATCACTGTGCGAAATCCTCAGTACAAGTCAGGGGACAAAGACACCAAGATTGCCAAGAGGATGGCTGTGTTGATTTTCACTGACTTTCTGTGCATGGCTCCCATCTCTTTCCATGCATTATCAGCCATTATGAGCAAACCTTTGATAACTGTCACCAATTCCAAGATCTTACTGGTACTCTTCTACCCACTCAATTCTTGTGCCAATCCTTTTCTTTATGCTATTTTCACCAAAGCTTTCCGAAGAGATGTCTTCATCCTGCTAAGCAAGTTCGGTATATGCGAGCATCGGGCTCAAGTCTACAGAGGTCAGACGGTCTCAAGCAAAAACAGCACTGGCTCTTATGGGCAGAGAATCAGCCGAGGGGTAGGTCAGATTCTTACCAGCACTCAAGACCCAGTCAAAGATTACCTCCCTGCTACGACAGCGCAAGACCGAATTCTTGTAGAAGAATGCAAGCAGACTGAGCTATAACAGCTGAAAGCATGACGACCCCAATCTGGTCAACAGGCGGTTGTGCAATGCAAGAAAGCCAGGGAGACGATATCACTTTTTCTTACCCTTTTTTTATCTTAATGTCTCCTTTGTGATGCTTGAAGTACCTTCTGAGGGGTTTTCTTTTAAATGAAACAAGAGCTTCAAGTGAATGACTAACACCCCATGCATGCACTAAAAAGATACTGTTCTGATAGTGGTGGAAAGTGGATGTGAAAGCTCTATGTAAAGGGAAAAAAAAAAAAGGAATACAAATATACTCTGCAAATATGAAAATATGAAACATATCATCATCTAGCATATTAAGGGAATCAGGAGATCAAGCATAAAACCAAATGGTTCAATTGTTTTTCTAATAGCAAACTAAAAGCATCCACCAGAGCCTGAAACTGAACAGATTCCTTCCGCTTCTCCTATCTTCACTTAAAATAAAGCAAGTCTTTAGTTTGCAGTTTTTGATTTAGTTGGGTGATATGGGGAAAGAAGACTCTTCATATGGCCTCTATAGCTGTTAATGGCAAACACTTATTTTGCTGTCACTTTTTGATACTTCTGCTTAGGAGCTGGTATAGATTGAAGTTGACCATTCTACCCAAGGAAATTTATGATGCTGTATCTTTTTAACTTTTTGAAAGTAAAAAAGTTTTTGAAAGTAAAATTTTTTGAAAGTAAAAATTTACTAATTTTTCCTCTCACTTAGGCATTCTTATGCCCGATTGCATGGCTGTCTGATCTGAACGTGCTTATTTCGTTGGAACTCAACCACGGCCAAACTCCTCCTTTCTTCCCATTACCGCTATTCCTACCTACCCTACACTATTCCTGACAGGCAAGAAGGACTTTCCCTCTTAGCCTTGTTCTCAAGTCTCCTGGAGACGTCAGGACTCAATGTAAGAGCGACTCTGCCTCAGCCTGTGTGACAACATCGGCATGGCCAAACTGCCTGTCCTGCACTTGAGAGTAGGATCAGACCTGTCGTCAGCCACTTGTAGACACTGGTTCTGTAGGGCTGATACCAAGATTGCCAAGATACTGTTCATTCAGCCCATCTATTGGGAGGCCTAACATAGGAAAGGAGAGTTTAGAGTGAATGTACACCTTCAGGTAGGGATTTTAACCTTTTTACAGAACTTATGCCATTTTTAATGATTTTTTTTTTCAAACTAAAGTTTTTGAGGAACTTCTCTTTATGAAATTTAAAGTATGCAAAAACATAGAGCCCTTCAAACTATAAACTACTACAGCTTGTAATTGCATAATTCTGAATTCCATAGGCATACTTCAATGGAAAAACAATTTGATTCCATATTCCTGATTGTAAATAAAGGCTGCGTAAGTGAGGAGACATAGGAACCTAGATTTGCTAACTCCATGGTACAGTTTCATAAAAAACAATGACTTTGTCATTGCTTCCTCCATTAATAACCAACAGCACGTGCCACAGATTAATTTAAGTGCTCAAGGACAGGGGGAGGAGGCAAGCATTTCTATTTTCATTTAATTTTCAAATCAAAACTGCTGAAATACCATGCAAATAATTTACAACCTCTTCTTTTGTGACCTGGCCTCACCTGGCATTAATTACAAACCTAAAAGCAGCTCAAATGTGCAGATTTGAAAGTTTCCTAGGGAAAAACACACTTAGTACTGCATATTAAAAATGTTTTGACCGTATCTAATGGGACCAGGGGTGGGGGAGGGTTTGAATAATATTATTTTTCAGCAAGAAAGGTAAGATGAAATCAACATTTACTCTAAAAATACTTTTTAAAACTCAATAAGATGATTTACTTCAAGCTTCCTTTTATCTTCAGCATGACAGAAAATTTGTTCCATGGCAATGACTAGGATATTGGAAAGGTGTGGTATATGGAACTGATTGTAGTATGCTTTTAAACTAAGACAGTTATTTGCTGTTAACAATGGATTATTTATTTTCACATTATTGAACTAGTTTCCATTCTCTCCAATCTCCCATATATTTTTCCATTAAAAGGATTCTGTGTTATTGCTTTTATGAACAAAATTTGATATTTCTGTTCTATGACTTGCATATTCTTTCTTGTGCTTAAATTGGCGAAAAATAAAAGCTACGGAAAACATCCAGGCAATAGATTTTAAATAATTTATTTGCCAGGGCTTTACTTGTTGTACATGTTTGTCTCCTGTATTGGATTTTTGCTCTAGTCCTTCTCTTCTCCCAATTTTGGTCTTGCACATACTATGATGTAATACTTGCTATTTTACATCTTAACAAGATGTATTATTACTGGCATTCAGTACTTTTTTTTTTTTTTTGCTCTAGCAAACTTTAGAAATAATGCAAGTATTGGAATAAAATGTTTTGTTGGAAATTGTAAGAGGCTTAGTGAGTTTTTCTGAACGTTTCAAATACTTATTTCTATTAGAAAGTTAAGCTATTTCTCCTGCTTCTCCTGCACTCAGCTTCACTGCTGCCCTTGACTAACCATAGCCAAAATGACTGATCATGAGTCAGTCTATTTGATAGAGGTTCCTCGCTCCCCTCCCCGCAAGCCTGGAAAGGGATGCCCTAAATGACCATCTCCAACAGTGCAGCAAGGACGGAAAGGAGCAGTAGCACTGCAGAGCTCTGCAGTGCCAAAATTGCCTTTAGTTACATTCGAGATAATCAGAAGGCTCACCTAACAGGGTGATTCTCAAAATTCCCCTCAACAGACTAAATCTGATGTGATCTGTTCCACCCTCCTTCCTAAACCCAATGTGCATGTGACCATTACAGCTCTGCAGAGAGGGACCTGGGTGTCATGGTGGACGACAAGTTGACCATGAGGCAGCAGTGTGCCCTCGTGGCCAAGAAGGCCAATGGGATCCTGGGCTGCATTAAGAAGAGCATCTCCAAAGGATGATCAGGGGCCTGGAACATCTGCCCTGTGAGGAGAGGCTGAGGGAGCTGGGCCTGTTCAGCCTGGAGAAGAGAAGGCTGAGAGGGGATGTAATCAGTGTCTAGAAGTACCTCAAGGGAGGCAGTGAGGAGGATGGTGCTGGCCTCTTTTCAGTGGTGGCCACCGACAGAACCAGAGGAAATGGCCACAAACTGAAGCATCAAAAGTTCCACAGGAACTTAAGGAAAAAATTCTTACCACTGAGGGTGACAGAGCACTGGAACAGGCTGCCCAGAGAGGTTGTGGAGTCTCCTTCTCTGGAGATCTTCAAAACCTGCTTGGATGCAGTCCTGTGCCACGTGCTCTAGGTGACCCTGTGTGTGTAGAGGTCATATGACTCTATGATTATAATGACTATGGATTGGATGCTTGCAGAGTACCAGTGTGCCTTCTTTTTGTGTTTTTGTTTTGCATTAGAAAGACTCTGCTGCAGGAACTCTCACATTAACTGAAGACATCTGCTCACACACAATTGGAGAGGAACCCTCCCACTGGTTCCCCCTTAAAGTGAATGTCTCTCATGCGATATTTGCCAGAATTTATGCTGCTTATAGTTCAGGAATTCTCTTCAGTGGCTTAAAAAAAAAAAAAAAAAAAAAGTGATTGTCCTATATGGATCCTTGCTATCACCTTGAAAACTATGAACAATTCTTATTGCTGAAAACTCAAAAAGCTCAAATATCAGTAAGTTTTGAAATCTGAGAAAACTCAGCGGGCTTCACTATCTGTACACCTTGCTACTGCCTGTAATTTTGTTTCTCTCCTACGCGAAGCTTCAGCATGTAATGAAAGCTTTTTTTCAGCTGTAGATTCTCAGATCTATCTGCATAAGGGGCCAGGAAGAAAGGAGTGAACAAGTGACAAAGTTTGCAATCATATTTCTGTGTATTCGGAGCAGTAAGAATAACAGGTGGCTACGAATAACAATAGAAAGACTCCTTAAGAATGAATGACTGGCAGGTGAAATTCAGTACAGATAAATGTCAAGTGATACACATGTCAAAAACAGAAGAATTCATATCTTAAAAGATGTGCTCTGAGCTGACAACCAGAATTCAGGAACAAGATCCTAGGGGTATGATACCCGAGTCCATGAAAACCTGAGCTCATGCTTCTTAGAGATAAAAGATAGACAATATTGAAAAGGGAAGAGAACATAAACCAGGCCGTTATTATACTAGTCCGTGGCTTCTCTGCATTGAATAGCATGTGCAGTTCTCATCTCCACAACAGAAGGAAGATATTGGAAAACCTCAGAGCAGCACAGCAATGAGAGTCAGGGGCTGCTTACAGCTAGGCAATGACCAAGGAAACAGGGACTCAGTCTGAAAAGACGACAAGAGAGGATACACTTAAGATCTATAAAGTTATGAGCAGCTTGGGGTAGCAGAGTTTACTGAACTTCTTGCTAGATGATACTATGAATCCGTTTAGGGAGAGACGCAAAAAAATCAAACCAAAACACAAAACAGAAACCATCTGTCTCAGGATATTTCTGTACTACGAACGCTGGGAAGACGGGAGCACAGGGGGAATGTGTCCTATGTGCTAGGCTCGCTCCCTCCTAGTCCCCAGCCACACACTCCGGCAGACATCAAAAACAGCCTTTTGGCAGACGGACTTGCAGCCTGCTCCAGGGCAGCCACTTGTTCTTGTTCAGCTGAAGCTGCCAGAACACACAGCCACGAAGCTAGAATTCCAGCCAGCTGAGCGACGAGGAGCAATATCCCCTGTCCACAGCAATACCTCAGTGGATCTGATCTCACAGCTGAGGTGAAAGGGCACAGCCTGGCCAGCCTCTCTCAAAACCCTGTACAGAAATTCAAAGAGCCAATGTTAACATTGTCTTGGAGGCTTCCGCTGGCTCTGGCAGACTATTTCAGAGTGAAAGTAGGCAGGTAAGTTGATGCTATTGTAAAAGTGGCAGTCAAAGCTATTGCACTCTCTCTACATAAGCCTCTGTGATTCTATTTGCATGATTTGTAGTGGTAATAGCGACATAATGAAAACTTTTTTTCAATCTCAGACACAGAAAAGAATGTAAAGTCACCTGGA